AATGACGATAAACTAAAGCAGATTTTGATTGCAAGATCATGATTTACAGCTATAATTTGATATTTTTAAATCAGCAACTATATTTCATCTTTTAATTTAATTATTTTATTAAACAATATTAATTAGATTTATATAATGTACGAATCAAGCTGTTATTTAATTCAGCAAGTTGATTTGTTATGGTTGGTATTTAGTTATATTATACAGGCTTTTAATGACAAGGATTTGTTGCTTTTTGTTTCTTTATAAAAAAAAAAAAATTATCCTCACCAATAAATCGTAGACAGGTATATTTTATAAATATAGGTACATACGTTCCTAAATCACATTAGTTGTATTCATTACTTTTACGTCATCAGTCTAATTGAGTATTTTTATGTCTTTACGAACTATTTGAATTTTAAAATCTAAGATCTTGAATACTAGAGATTCTAATGGGGTAGTATTTGTTCAATTGGTTGGCGCTTAACGACACGTAATAATGAGATGGGCGGGCGCAGGCCGCGCGGTCACTGTTTGCGTTTGCGATTAGAGCGATGTGCTTGCACTCACATAATAATTACTGTTTGTAAAACACACATTTGTAGCAAATCGTAAGTAGTATTTTTAAAAGCGAACTGTCCGGTTTATTGCTTGGATACCTGCATACGGGAATGCTATTCTGTATTATATGAAATCTATTTAAAAATTCATTAATATTGTATTAATATTATTTACCTTAAAATGTTACAGTATCGTAGAGCTTAAATCGTATTATAATGTGAAAATTATTATAATGAAGAGATAGATAACAAATTTATTAGCATCTTAAGCATATAAATCAAACTACAGTTATATATATATATATATATACAGACTCGTACAGACTTTTGAAATTGAATAATCTATTATTATATAAATATAATTAATATGTTCTGATAATTATGTAAAAACCTAAAAAAATCTTTAAGGTCACTACCGACCTTGGAAGTTGGTCACATTGCCACACTGCATAGTTATGGAGATGCACGGACCAAAACAAAGGCTAGCTCTTTAATCGCTAGAGGTTTTTATCAGCTGGTGTGATACCTCTTTGAAAATACCTATCCGTATCAAAATGTGTATTTTAACATATGAGTGTTTAATAATAATATCAGTAGTTTGCTTGTAAGCTATAATATCTCCAAATTTTGGAGTTATTTAAAAATGTTACTAATTTATAAACATTTCCCTCTGTTAGATAAAATATGCTTACAGACTTAAGAAATATCACCCCTATGAAGTGCAGTTCAATGTTGACTTATGGAGCAATTACTGTGGCTTTTCACACGTACCCACTAAACGCTTCGCTCGTTCGGATCTTGGGTCGTAACTTGTAGAAATGTCGTAGTAATGCATTTCTTGGATCTGAATTTATGTTTATATTGTGTCCACTCCAAGTTTGGTGTCGCATTAGATACCTCATATTCGTGGGTCACGATCTGTGACAAATTCTTTGAAATATTGGTATTCCGACGCTATCTGAGAAGAGGAGGCTATTAGCAGCATGTTCGAGTCCTTTTTAAAGGACTTTCAAAAGAAGGAAATTCTTAATATCTCTTTTTTTGTAGCCTTGGTACGCTATTATGTGCTATTTATATAATTTTTATATAATTTTTTTTTGCAATCGATTTCTTTTTATTTAATTTTTCTTTGCGAAGCAAAAAATGCTTTTTGCGAATTACTTTGGTACGTTGTTACCTAACTTCCAATAATAAAATACATATATGTTAGGAAAGCAGCTCACATAAAGGTAGGTATATAATATAAGAAATAACAAAACATAAATGAAAGGTTTGCCTTATGACAGTAGTCGAAATAATTTATGTTTATTATTTATATTTAATTTAAATATAAAAAAAAAATGTAGACAAGTCGGAAATGAGAATATTGAGTTATTATATTTGTAATCGGAATCGGTAGACATTAAGTAGGTACTCAGCATAACTGTATTGCAACGTCGGCTGGCAGCATATTTGGCAGATTGCCGGTGGTCGTTATAAATTGTTTTGGTGTATTTTTGTCAGGTCATTTACATCAGTGTATTGTAGATACTCTTGAATAATGACAGTTTTACTTATTTAGCGATGTGCTATAAATACTATTACGACGACAGTCTCAGATGAGACAGAGCGAGAACACGATGAAACGCAAACTGCAACGGAATTAGTTTCCATCAAACAGTTTGCAAATATATTTTGAAATGAATTCTGAATTCTCTCACAACAACTTTAGTGAGCATTGAGAGCAGCAATAATAGACAAGTAGTAAGTAAATCAAACAGTAGATATGTTTCTGTGCACATGGGAAAGAACTAGACACTGAAAGTTTAGTCTCTTTCTGTTATACACATATGGTGTAAAAACATGTTCAAAATTAATTTGATAATTTTCATTTGTCATTTATCCAGAGAAGCTTAGATGTTTAACATGTTGAGCCATTGAGTATATTATTATATATTTGAATATTAGTAAAAGAAGGAAATATAGGAAAAGAAAAACGGTCTAAGGTATATTATAGGTGTACAATTGTTCAAAGATGACTCTGACCATCGTCAGACCAGTCTGTACGTTTGACCAAAGTTTTAGTTTAGTTGCAGCATGTAAAGGCATGCAAAGTAAATATAATACTATGATTAAGTTTCATTGCTTTTCAGTCGGTTGTGCCTTTAGTAACGTGGCTTAGGGTCTATTACTGTGATCTTTCGGATGTTTAGTTTTGTTAAAGGTTTTACATTGGTAGAGCATTAATCGAAAATATTGATGTTTATAGTCTTATGAGTGGAATTCGTGATAATAAAATCATTAGTCCGCGACGCCGTACAAGTATGTACTTGCTAAGATTTTAAATCTTTGTGTACTTACTTGTTCGTAAATAATTACTAGTAACAGGCAACAAGCTAATTTAATTAACAAACCAAACAGCGGAGTCACGTATTAGAGACGCTTATCTACCCGGCTACCGAAACATCTTACTGTTATGCAAATGGTTTTAGAAATGAAGTAACAATTGTTATTATAATACCAGTCTTGGAGAGCAAGCGTGAGTGTTGGATATCTTAAGTTGTCACTTTGTTTTCTTTTTGCACCAGGCTCTCTTCGCCGGACATCGACCCGATCTTGTCTCTATTAGAGAGGGTTGCCATAATAAAAAAAATAAAAAGAACACACTTATAGATATTAAAATAAACACAAAGGTAATAAATAAATAGTAAAAAAGTAGACTAATATAAATTCAATCAAATCTTTTTATGACAGTCTATTTCAACTTACGTCTACATATCTTCGATATTGGTTTAAAAAAAAACATGTCTATTTAATTAGTAGTAGGTATTACCGCGGTGTGGTATTAGAGTGTATTTGCTTAAAATACGAACGCATTTTGGAAGTATTTATTAGTTATATGTATGACTATGACACTATGCATTTGTGATGCCATATTTTTATTTTTGCATTTGGAAGTACGAGAAATGTACTGATACATAAAGTCAGTTAAAAGTTTAACAACAAAGCCGATGTCAGATGATTAAATTTTAATATTTTTTTTTTGGAGGTTTTTTTTATAAAGTAAAATGTGTTGCGTAAATGTTTTTATTTTAATCAGTTTTTAAAAATTTATGACGATGTAATGTAGTAATATGTATAAATTTATAAAATATAATATATAAATTTATATATATTACTCATTTGTGAATCTTAATAATGGAAATATTTATTTTTAAAAAAAAATAAAATAAAATCTTTACAAAAAAGTGATAACCCTAATGCGGTGTTACGGTAAACGTGTAAGTAAGTAGCGACTGAAGAACGTACGTGAAGTGATTTTGTTTGTTATTCGAGCGCATTCGACTCAGGGCCGTGTTCTCGGAAATAAACTTTGATACGACTCTAGATGCTGTGCTGGCCCTTTAGGTATCAACTGAATAATTCTTTATTATTGTCTTAATTATTATCGAGAATCTTCAGTAACGGATGTCTAGTAATATGTTTTTTTTTTTTATTTTATGCTAAAGCAAACCCTTCTGTTTATTTGATTTTAACGAGTCATAAGCAAGTTTAGAAGAGCCTGCTTAGATTCTGGTTAAATTTAACTTCGAACGGAATCACGACTTCAAACAGATTTTGTCCTTTAAATAAGAAGTCAAATATCAGTTTATTTTTCGCTTTTTGATTTTTGTTTTTGAAGTCAGTTTAATTTTTTTTAAATATGTTTGTTGAAGTTATCACAGAAATACTCCCTAAATGAAAATAAGTGATAAATAAAAATATTTAATTAATTTGTCGACTGTCGATTTATTATTATTGGACATCAGCAGATTGTTGTATAGTCAGAACAATTATTCGTTTGATTACATTTTTATTAAGTTTTATGAAAACAAGTTATTGTGCTTGGTCAAATTCATTCTTAAGACACTTCCAATCTCTAAGAAATGTTTAATTAAAAGAGGTTCTCATTTTATCTATATTTTTATATACTCGTATATGTTACACGATATCTTCACCAATCCTGAATTGATTTTGATAATTTTGAAATAATAACTATTGTGAGTCCTTCATCTGTTCATTGCTGAACATAGGCCTCCCCCATAGATTGCTATAAGAAACGGTCCTGAGCCACCTGCATGTACTAACATTGTAAGTCGTACTGTAATGTAATTTTTTTATATCGATTTTATTCAAGTTTTAAATTCGAGGATGCCTGACTAGTTTTAAACTCAATAGGAGCCTTTATTAAATACTTTATATTGATGATTCGTTTTTGCAAATGTTAGTGTTTACGTCTATGTTACAGCCGCTGTTTTGTTGCAGTTTGCTGCGAAGTCAAATCTACTTGTATTTGAATATATAAATGATTCCGTATACTAAATCTAAATATTTTAAATTTCACATGATTTAATTTATTTTAAACTCATTTGTCGGTATAAGTGATTGAACGTATAACAAAATGTACGTTTGTGTTAATTAAGCTTTCTTTTATTGCAGGTAATGTGGCTAATAGCCGCTGTTCTGGCAGCGGCGACGGTGGCTGCTGCCATACCCTGCGAGGATGTGCAGATGCAGTGCGCCTACCGCTCCGGCTGTGGTAAAGCTCTCAACAACTACATGATATTCTGCAGCGAAGTCCTTACTACGGGAACATCGACGTGCCCAGAGTACTGCGAGTATGCACTCATAGCACTTACTTCCACGCCGGAAGGAAAAGATTTATTGAATGTAAGTATAATGTGAGAATTAAACGAATTCATCGGCTTTACATGCTGCAAACAGACACAAACAGAGACTTTGTTAAAAATTATATCTATTTCTTAGTACATAAACAAACAATTGACATTCGTAGTGGCGGGTACGATACTTTGCGTAAATAAGATTCCAAGTTCATTTTCTTTCCTTTCTGAATTGGCTCGGATCTAGATGTTCTGGATTGTACCACCAGATGTTAGTCGCCTGGTGCCTCATAAGATAAAGTGACTTAGGCTAGGACACTTTGTGTTATGAAATAAAAGTTTGTGATTCTTGTTATCAATAGTATAGGTACCTACAATAATTTTTAGAAGTCAAATAATAGAATCGAGGTCGAACACAATAATATAGTGTCGTAAAGTGCAATTGAAGAACGATAATGTTTTATCGCTAGTAATAATCATGCCGGCACTCAATGAAGCTAAGTGGCTATTAAATAAATACAAATGAGAGACGAATCTCGTTTGTATGTTTAAATTGTTTCGCCAGCCAAAGTTCAGGCTCGTCGTGTTCCCAGCATCAATACTCGTCAGCCAATTGATAAGGCGACCAATAAATTCTGAGCCTTTGTTTATGTTTTTTGGTTGGTTTTGGAGGTCTTTGTTAAGCGGTTACATCGAGTATGGTGCGTAAGCAGACGGCCGCAATAAAATCTAATTTAGACGTGTTCGGGCAGATTTGTCGGATGGAGGCGATGCGGCGTCAACGATGCAGCGTCTCGCCGAATGAGGGCCGCGGTTGACGACCTCACCTCGTCGCCAGCGTAGTGCTACTAGATTTGATTAGGGAAAAATTACTTTAGTCCAATATTGTCCTTTACGGTTCATATAAATATTTACATATTAATTTTTGTTTGTAATGATTAGTATGTATTTACACGATTTAATTTTAATTATAGTATAATTAAAGTAAAGTGTTCATAATTACGACAACAATCACTAATACGGTAGTTAAAGGCTCGTGTTTTACTTTTTGTTGGACTGATGCTGTTTTGATGAATGTAACGCTTGATATGCTTAGATTTTACGAAGCAGAGTCAATACACAATAACTATACTATTATGCCAAACGAGAAACTAAGTTTTGTTTGTTTGTTAATATTAGATTCCTAGTGTCTGTACCTGAAGTTCTACTTAGTTTGAGACTAGATAGTGGTTTGCAATATGGTTTAAACTTAGATAAACTAACAATACATTATCAAGGGCTATTTACTTTAAACAATATATTTAATGTAATAATAAATAAACAATTGATTATTTTTGCACAAAAATTGTTACATAGTCTTATATTTGTTATTTATTTATTTTGTTTATTTTCTCCACAAGTTTTACAGAAAAATAATATATACACGTGAACTTCCTCCCGGATACAACATATTATTTCTTAAAAACATTTCGTAGAAAATTGATAAACGTATGTCGACAATAATGCAGATGATAATTTTAATGAAGTAATCATATATATACATAACATATATATTATAAACTAATACATATATAACAAATATACTGTATTTATTTTCAGTGTTTTCAACAGTACTTTCTAGAAAATGATTATGCGATATACTCGTATTTATGGAACTAGCACTATACACCCACAATAATACTGACAATTGAATAATGTAGATTTTTGATTATTTATATATGCTGGTATAATTATTAGTACATTGGATAATGTGTAGATGTATCGAGAGGCGAAGGAGCGGCCGCATACAGCCTTGAGATTTGACGTCTTGATCGAGACCTACCGCAGCGTCGACTTGCGCAGGTGTTATCCATTCTCACAAAAAATGTCGAGCGTAAGTCGGCGGCTGTTCATTATCCGGGCAAACGAACCTAGAACGACTGCTAAATTGACCTCTGAATCGATATATCGAATAAGAAATTACTTACTTCCAATCGACAACCTACTTACTGGCTTAGACCATTCACACACTAAATATCTACTGCAATAACATAAACTTTATTATAGATAATCTACTATAGCTTATGCAAATTCCTAATAATTTTCATATTCTTATAAAAGCATTTCAAAACTTGCCCAGCCGCATTGCGTTACAAGAATTCAGATTAAACGATTGTTGTGTAATCATGTAACAGTAAGTTGATAGTTATAATAAATATTTTACAAAAGTGTCTATTTTGATAGTGGCCAGAATATAGCTGGCTATCGTAAAAATTTTATGGTCGTGAAAAGTTATTATACGCATTATGAACGGCGAGGTTTTATGGTTTTCCTAAAAAGTTTACTGTATTGGGCACGGTAACGCCCGAATTAGAATGATGGAGACTGATTCAAAAATATTTCTCTATTTGTTACAGTGTCAGTGCAAAGACGAATACTGCGAGGGAATGAAGAGTCGAATAGAGATCTGTAGGCCTCAAGTCGTAAATGGAGCTGCAAACGCTACCGCTTCTTGTTGGCTCTCACAGTTGATTTGTCTTGCAGACTCTGAGTGTGCTGCTGCCCTCGAATATTATAAACTACTATGCTGGTCTATGTACGAAGGGCGGAAATGTTCGAGAAAGTGCCGGAACTCCATAGGGATTTTAAGGAAACAGAAGAAAGCAGCGGCTTTGTCGACCTGTCAGTGTAACGGCGACGAAAATTATGATTGCAAAAAGATGCAAAATAATTTTGCACGGCTATGTTTCCACAACAAACATGGCAATTATAAAGACAAGAAAAAGAAAACATTCCAGCCGTTACCAGAGACACCCACATCTAAGAAACCTAGTGTTGTTACAGACGCGGCTTCTGTTGCCATCTTATCGCAATTGATGGTTATCATTTGTGCATACGTTACAACTATGACGTGATATTTAATGCTAATTAGCGAGGCCTACCTCATGCTATAGAACACTTAAGATATCTTATTAAATATCTTTCTTTCGAGTTCTAGTAATCAATGTAATTAGTCTTACTACAATTGTATAAAATTATGTATCTTAAAGAGTAGTACAATGAGTAGTGAACTCGGACTTCTAGGATATTTTACAAGACCAACACAGAATCTAAGGTACCTTTTCGTATTAGTATTTTTAAGTTGACATATTATAATTTAGATACTAATAATGATAATATAATAAATGTGTAAATAATTTAGATATGTAAATGTGAGGGAATGCAAGGATAAACGAGAATTTTGGCCTACAAATTTAAAACAGTATTGTCTTTCAACCGGTGCAACGTTAAATCTATCGAGATACAGAGCTAGCCGCCCACGGGTACGGGTGACGCTATAAATACGAAGCGCGGAGCGGCGCCGGTGGTCCGGTGACAAATGCTCAGATGCTGCCCTATTCCTGAAGCAGTGTCTGTCGATTGATCTAGCTGTCTGGTCATGCTCAAATACTATGCTGACAGATTAGCCAAAAGTAAACCATATAAAATAGAAGACTATTGCAAAATTTACTTGCAAATATTTGGATATATTTTAAGACATTTTAGAGGCCTTTTTAAGATTAAGAGGAGGAACAAACCTTGGTGTATTTTTTGTACGATAAAATAGAACATAGATATTATTACGTCGTGATCAAGACTCTTCTACAGGGTCGAAGTATCAATATGCTTAAATAAATAAATAAATAATTATGCGGTGAATAAATGTTTGTTAATAGTAATGATAACTGCAAAAATTTAAACAGTTTTAGAACAAAATAGAATTTTATTGCATAACGTATAATTCATGTAACTCTGCGATTTACATAATGGGCAATCATCTCAAATCCCGAGTTAAAAAGTCCTTCATCTGTGCGTCTTAATTGTTCCTGACTATTTTGCTGTTGAAGAATTTTTAAAACTGAAATAAGTCGGCGATAGATTAGGGAAGTGGATGTTCGAATGACATACTCGTGTCTAATTCCGGTGGGCGCGACACTAATCGCCCCCAATGATGTAGGGCGCCATACAAACATGCCGCGGGATGCCACTGTCACGTTAACATTATTGACATTTTGTTTCCTTTGCATCCGTTCTTTAGCATTGTTTTAATTTTTTCTACTCATTAATAAATAGCTTCTCATAATGACGATACGCGATGACTTAGAATTCATTAGAATTATGTTTGAGTACGGAAACGATTTTTCCATGGAATAGATTGACAGCGCTTCGTAGGAACACGACACAGTTACTTGGCAAGAAAGAACTCTAAAACCGGTTGTAGGTAAAGCTTTAGCAACGATACTGATATTGAACACGTTAATTTGTTTTAAAGTAACACGGAAATACTAGAATATAATAAAATACATGTAATACTAGATCTATGCTGCTGTTTTAATATTTTTATGAGCACATAAATTATCAGTAGTTATTATGATGAATTACCGAATATTGAAATAGATATTTATAAATAAAATGTTCTATATGAAAAAAGATATAATTTAATGACTATTTTCTAAGCAATATTGCTAAAAAGAAAATTAAAATATATTTTGACGATTTTTGTTTCAATTTGTGTCATTAATTATAAACATTGTGTATTCATGAGATCTATTGCTTACCTATTAATGTATTGCCAATGAATATACTTATATATATCGACGCACACATGAAGTCATATAAAGGTGAAGTAATAAAATACGCGCGGATTGTGAATAAGGAATAACATCCTAGTTTATTGGTATGGAGTGATTTATTTTCAATCCTATTATACTTCTGTTTACATTAACCACATCAGAGATCGTAAATTTATTTAAGGTAGTATTTTACATTGTATTTTATATATATATATAGTGTCCGACAACAGCAGCCTTGTTTTTATGGGGTTCCAAAATAAGAAACGCATTTTAAGCATACACTAAAAACAGTTTTAGGATACCTTTATTTAAATTTCCTCTTTGTTTAAAATTGAAGGGGATTTTTAAAATAAAGTGTGATAAAAATAACTTGTAACAAAGTCGTGTCCAATACAGTATTGATAGTTCTCAAATAATATTTTTTTGGTAAATATTAAAATTAAAAACGCGAGATTGATAATTTGTCTTTATTTTTTTTTCATGCATGAATCTAATTCTAAACCAAAACTGATAATTATTTTTGAAAACCATAGGTTACTCATACGTATGTTGATATCATATTAATTTTGTGACGTTTGAAGCTGCCGTTTTTCTTTAATAGCAAAATTTTAAGAAACGCAATATATAGAACAATCCTGATTGCATAAAGAATAATAAAAATCACGTACAAAAGATTACGAATGATTTGAGAACGTTTTTGAAATTGTTTGAAAATTACCAAGTAATCATATACTATAAACAAATAAGTTATAAAATATATATAGTTATATAATATTTTGCTAAAAATCAGGTCAGTCATCTTTTTGGGTGTCGCGTGTTTGAGGACATGACAGACAGGGTGCTTACTTTATTTTAAAAACGTCTTCGTATGTTTAGTTATAAGTACAAATAAATATAAATGCGGCATTTTAAATAATTTAAGATTCCAGTTTTAAATATCTATTGTAAATGTAACTCTTAATTTTAGGGGATGTCACCCACACACGTGTAGTAGTAGTATTGTAAATGAATATAGCATAGTTTAAATTTAAATAAATTATTAATTTTATTTACGAATGAGTACACAAAAATAAATAAAACATATTAACCACAGTTTACCAAAGTGAGATTAATAATATTAATAGTAAAATAAAATGTGAATACTGTTCATTAAGGTGTTACGTAGAAATAAGTATTTTCTTTATAAGAAATGTTCGTGCAAAGTATTTTTAGAATTAATTATAATAATTTATTAAATCAGCTAGTTTTAACATTGTAAACATTGTTGCGTTTGTTTCGTTTTGTGAAATTAGGATTTTAGATGTAATATTTATTTTACAAAATTGCAATAAATTTTTGTATTCTATTTCTTTTTTTTATTTTAATTACCTCTTTCAGAAATTAATCAATTACAATAATACTTGTGAATGTGTATATCACAGTGTAGTCTGTGGTATTCATTGTTCTATTCATATTTGAAGACGGCGGTCGCTGATTTTATTCAGGTGGGTCGTCAGTTTGTTTGCTATTCTAAATTGAATAAGAAATATAAGCTTTAAGATAATGCTTCGAACGAATCTAGTTTAGATATCACTACAGTAGCTAGCCAAGGGAATTGGTAGATAGATAAATATATAATTTATTTGTATTACTTATAGCGCACAAATAACAACAAACATAGATATACACAAAAAAATAAAATAAAAGATTACAAATAAGTAAAATACATAAAAAATATGGTACATGCATATTTTTTGATAAATCCAATGTTGGTTGATTCAATCCTCATCAAAAGAATTTCATGAATTACTCTACCGATTTTTGTAAAACGTGCATCAGTTTTTAAGCTAGCCTTAATAGCTGCTAATATTACCTAATTGTGAATTCATATCTATATGTAGTAGTTTTTATCCGAGACTTTACACGTATGGCCGGGATAAAAGTATGCCTATGTCCTTCTCCACTCTATACTTTTCTATTTGTTGAGCCGTTCAGGTGCTAGAGGTAAGGAGTATGCTTAACAATAATTGTAATAATAGTGAGGCCTGCATAGTTTTGACATGGTTCAGAGATGAGTTATGAGAATTATCGACGATCCTGTTCACAAACGGAATCAAGACTTAATAATAGTTCTAAAGCAAGACTTAGCATCTTTATAGTTATATATACGTGTACAACATTATAGGTATCAACCGTATCTTCTAAACTCTTTTCTAAATATGTTTCTACTGAATATGATACTAATATTACAAATGTAAAAGTTTGTTTTGACTGTAAATTATAAACTTCGTCGAGTATTCAACTAAAAATTAAGAAATTTGCTACATAATGTAGTAGGTATATACCTCAGAAAAAAACAATGGCGTCGTTCTGTGGTACCAATTCACGAAATTACTATTTTATGAACAATCATAAAGAAAATGCATAATAATTTTGAATCTATTACCAATTTAGTTTATATTGGTCTTTAAAATAAAGATTTCGCTATAATATCAAATTGAAATTTTAATTTTAGAAATAAATTTAGCTAAATGACGTCTCAGAATCGACCCCACAGTAAGATACTTTTTATACCGATCAATCAATATATTCCGGTTACGCAAATGAATTCATGATTGAAATACTCTGCTGTAAGTATTGCGAATTACCAGTCTCATTGCTAGTAATATACACTGACAGGTTGACCTCTACGTGGTACCCCCTGGAAACCATCATGCTGAATTCCAAGTATATTTATCACGATGGGCTAACTGACCTGCTCTTTCATTTTCATTTATTATCCATCACTGGTGCCCCGCCGGTATAAATCGATAGCGCAGGCGGGGTTACCATTCCATTATATTTCGGTTACCTCGTGAGCCAGGTCGAGATATTTTCTCTTTTTCTCGGTTTCGACTTTCACGAGATTCTCGTCATGCGGTATGGTGACATCCACCAAAAACACCCTCGAGAGTGCCCGATCCATCACCATGATATCAGGTTTGTTCGCGAAAACTGTCCTGTCCGTGATGATGGATCGGTCCCAGTAGAGCCTGATGCTGTCGAGGACCGGCAGGGGCTCGTATTTATAGTACGGCAACCTCTCATTCGCGAAGCCGTACTTCAGAGCTAGTTTTATTATTATTATTACTGAGATGTAAGCTTTTTCACGCAGAAATACACTGCGACCTTTCCATGATCTTTTGTGCTCGCCCTTTTATTAAAATTCGCTCTTAGATTACTGATAGGAATTTTAAGATATTTTTTGTAGTGGTATTTTTTATTTCTTCAGGATATAAAGTGTATTTTCCAAAGGTGATATATAGTTTATGTTTGAATGGGTTACAGCCACAAATTATTTACATAGGTACATATATAAATAGTTAGGTATATAAGTATGTAAATTTCACACGGAGATCACTAACGGATAGCGGATATAAGCTCTCAGTATGTAATAAAACTGTAATATTTCAGAGCTAAAGTACTTAATCCTCAAAGTATCTGTACTTGAACCAAGGACACTCAGAGTGCTCATATGAGTTAAGAGTTACCGGTTTATGGGTAGTACGTGACTATTTTGGCAAAATTAGACTCTGCGATCATGGGAACGGATGTTCCATCTAGCAATAAAACGCTGAGGGGGAACTCAATAAAAATATTTCACGGAACTATGATGTTTTTTGTAAATACCTAGTAATAATGAATTAATTATAGGATATATAGTATATGTATACTACGTAGTGCATATTGCTTCAATAAATAAACATAGCCTGTGAAATTAATATTAATCTTAAAAAGTTTATTATTGCTGAACGATAGTCTTTCTGTTATGTACTTTACTGTTGAATCATCGAACATTTCAAATGTAGGTTATGTTGATGGAAATTCCTAGTATTCTAAATATACACAGCATTATGTTAGTTCAAAATATAATAACAAGCATATTTATAACTTTCCATTTATCCCTCAATTTCATCATGTATGAATGTTTCACTATTGACGTGGGTTCCAAAGAGGAAAAGATATTGACCTACTGTAGTTACGCTGGCTAGAAGGCTTGGTATAAGGTCTTATTTCGAGTTTTCTTTCTCTTGCACTGATGTATTGTATGATTTGTTGTCTCAGACCTCTTTGATGACGTAGTTAAGATAAAAACAAGTGGTATCACATGGCATTGTGACTTTTACCATTACTACATGAAATATCATACAAATGGGTAGTTTGATGGATCGGTCTAATAAGAGCTTCAGAGCGTTCTGAATTAGCGCACTACATTGTTTCGTTTCAATGGTAGGCAGCTAGATACCTACCAAGAGGGTCAGCCACTGCGGGTGGTCCCAATTACATGAAGCTTGTCTTTCCACGTATGTCTTACGTAAGCATAATTATTACTACTTCAAGTAAAGAAGACCATTAGTCGATACAAGTGAGCGTTAGACAAAAAACAACCGAACTCGAACGCATTCTTTACTATGAAATAATAATGGTGAGACAGCTAGGGGAATTCTTAAATTGGACAGTTGTTTAAGTTTATCTAGTCACGGAATATATTTGTGGTAGAATTGTATATAGATACTTAGATGAATGTCTAGGTAATATTCCCAGTATCAGACATTACAGTAAAAAAAAATATTGTAAATATTTAAGTCGGAGCGATACATGTATTTTACGATATTTTTTTATTTTCTGTTAAATCAATATTAAATTTACCATTTATCTATTATATGTATGATACTTAATTATTTATATTTATAGAAATAAATATATCGAAATTATCAACTTGGTTTAGTTTCGACCCTATGTTTACTACTGTATTTAAAGTCCATGAAGTTCCAGTACTTATTAATGTACGAGTATATATCAAAAGAATAAAGAAATAATTATTTAATAGATGTCTAAAACAATAGAATTAATCTCTATTGAAGCATCTGTACATATAAATGTATGTTTATCACAGTACAATAGGAATTAGAGTTCTGATAGAGTCGTCTTGTTGTCGTAGTTGGTTTCCTGTTCCTCGTATTTTTTTAAGGGATAAAAACGATACTGTAGTTCCGACTATATTATTGCTAGCTCCGTACGTTTTTTTTTTTTTTAATGGATAATAATGAAATGGTAACCCCTGCCTGCGCTATCGGTATATGGTGGCAGGACACCAGTGAGGGATGATTGGTGAGGATGAAAAGGCAGGTCAGTTAGCCCATCGTGACGAATTCAACGATAGTTTCCAGGGGAAGTCTTCCATCAACAGTATTTTTGAACCGGAACGGCATCATTAGCTTCAAGAAAAGAGCATATTCCTTTTTAAAAGGCCGACTACACAGTTGCAATGAATTTGGTGTAGCGGATGATCATGGGCGGCGGTAGTTACTTACCATCAGGTGAGCCGCAAGCTCATTTGCCCCTGTGTTTATAAAAAAATCTGTCCCCGTTCATTATATGATATCTCATATGATATATGAAATCTTTTTTAGAGATAAGTTCGCCTTTGCTAACATTGTTATTAACTTATTGTTGTTACTGTATGTTTTAGTGCAATAAAGAATATATATATTATATTAGCATACTCTCATAGCGTAGTCGCCCCATCACCCTCAGTAACTTTACCATACATAAACAAGTATTTTTTTGTTGGATATATAAAATATTAACACGTTTTTAAGTTTATATATTAATAATAATTTTGATAATTGTTTTAATATATCATGATCTATCTAACTGTACATACTAAAATGAAAACAATTTGATAATAATCTAATCGCATTAAACGATTAAGTAAACTTTTTGTTACAGCAGATACAATTATCTGTCTATTATTTTGATGATGTACCTACATGTAAGCTGTGAGTGTACGAGAATCATCGAACTAAATGAAGTCATCTCGGGAGTTGGACCACCGAGCTTGGAGCGACGTAGCACGACGTACCACGCCTCTAATCTCGCCTCGCAAGCACGTCGCAAGCAAGCAGTTTGTATACACGACCGAATCAAACAAAGTATTATTTCCACTCAGCCAATTGGATTTCTGTATAAAAGTATTTTGGGTACTGTTATATTATATTGAGACATAAATATTCAAAAGATTACAAAACTTTTGATTTGGAAATTGTGTGCCACATGTTTCGGGTAGGCTTGACTACTACAACAGAGCATAGATTAATAATAGTAACGAACAGAGTAATATTTTAAATTAGAAATTCTTATAATGTCTGTGTTCATTATAGAGTAGTCATATCAGGATATTTTTGACGTGTATGTTTTTGTTAAGCATGTTTTTTTTATTAATATGTATTTTTTAACTATTTTTTGTGTTTTTAGTTTATCAAACTAATGTTATTTTTTTTAAATTGGATTGCTAGTGTCACCTATAAACATCGTGTTTGAAAT